ACAGTGTTGTAAATACAACTTAACCACTGATTTCTAGTCGTGTCCTCTTTTGGAAGGCCAAACAAAGCAGTTCACTTTCACAACGAAACACACAGCGTCATACACAGCGGCCTTGAGTGAGCGGCGGCCGGCGGATTTGATGAAGGATCTTCTTTATGCACCAAGAGCTTGTAACACTTCAAAGAGAAAGGAAAAATTGAAATCGCATCATATGACCCCTTTAAGCATCACTTTGACTTTTTTTGTGAATAGTGTTTAATCAGAGTTCCCAGACTGCTGTGATGTTATATATTTTTAATATATCACAGATCTAGGAAAGTCCACAATAGTGATGACTATGTTCATATACAGTATATTCAACAGGAACACAACAACTCTAAAATATAGTTAATGTACAAGTATGCTGTGTGAGTGTGAAGGGGAGAAGAAAAAAACGGACTATGCAAAAGTCAATATGATGGAGTCAGGTTTTTATCAAACAGACAGCTCTGTGTTTGAGTCTTCTGTGTCCCACACACAGTCATACATTGTATTCCCCTTGAGAGTTTTGCATATGATTTTCATGCACATGAGGTCATTCTTCTGGGCACTGTGATACAATCATACTACTTGTCCCCACCTAGTCATTATGGGCCAATATGACATATACTTGCATAATTCCCTTTCACACATGTGCTTCACACACGTGCATCTTTTTGTCAGTTTTACTCAGACAGGGTTTGTGAGACGTTTACCTCTTTTAAGAAATTAATGCTTTTATTCAACAAGGGTGCATTCTATTAGTCAAAAGTGGCAGAAGTTAAAATGATTTCGGATTTGATTACATACTGTTCTTTTCCAAACATTCAATTCATCAAATAATCCTGATATCAATGTATCATGGCTTCCACAAAAATATTAAGCAGCACAACTGTTTTCAATGTTGATGATAATAAGAAATTTTACTTTCTTATTGTACCAAATCAGCATATTAGAATGATTTCTGAAGGATGATGTGACACTGAAGACTGGAGTAAAGGCTTTTGAAAATTCATTTTTAAATATAGTAAAATAGAAAACAATTATTTTATTTTAGTATTAATAGTAATAATACTAATAGTAATAATAGTTTAATTCAATAATTAAGCATCAATCTAAAAAAATAAACATTCAGATTTTGCTGTTGTGTGTGTGTGTGTGTTATGTAGAGTTCTTCATGCCAGTGGAGTGTGTCAGTCTGTGCTGTATGGACTACCACTTATCATCAAACCAACCTCATGCTGGCAGCTGGACTGGGATGAAATGGAAACAAACCAACAGACATTTCATGCTCTCTGCCACATACTAAAAGTCAGTGTCTGACTGTGTGTGTGTTTGTTTGTGTGTGTTCATAGAGCACAGCTGTGTGATAATCTGTTATGTAAGGGATCTGAAAATGTTGTTAAAAACCTGAATATTTTTGTTTACTTAGACCTGTGACTGGTTCCTTTTGGTGCGCTCAGAGTCGGGGTCAGGTTCAGGTTCTGCTGTGTTCTCCTACTATATACTTCAGTCCTCTGGTTCACTCTCTCTGCTTTTGAAACCTGTGCTGACACGAGAACTTACGCTACCCTGCTGCCTGCCTGTCTCAATGGAGGACCCGCCACTTCCTGCACTTGCCTCTGTGGAGGTACCATTACATTATAGACAGACATTATAGACTAGTAGTGCATGGCCCTGACATACAAACTTGGTGTAAAATTCACTGAATGGCTCAAACACAACTCAATTCTAATATTTAGCATCAACAACTGGATCTCTGTAATGAGAATAATTAGTTTTATTAAAGGGATAGTTCATCCTAAAATAACAATTCTGTCATCATTTACTAATCCTAATGTCACTCTAAGCCCCGTTCACACCAAGAATGATAACTATAAAGATAATGATATTAGCGTCCACACCAGCGAACGATATCATCTGTAAGCGCATGCTCGTCTGCTGCTTTAAATTATCGATCTCGTTATAGCAGGATGAGTTCTGATTGGTTTTCAATGTTTTTATCATTCATCAGCTGAAAAAAAATAATTCTGGAAGTGATTAAAACGATATTGTTTCTCTGTGCCTTGATCGTTATAGCTGTGGTGTGGATTCTCCTATTCTTTAATATTGAGAACGATTTTTAGAACTATATCTTTATAGTTATCTTTATCATTGTCGTGCTTGGTGTGAACGGGCCTTTAAACCTGTATGACTTGTGTAACAACGTTCGTAGATGGGGAAGAAGGAGGCGGGAACCGGCGAACATTTAAACAAAACTTTAATAATAAAATAAACAAACACAAAATACCGCGGCAGCCCCTCACGGACGACTGCTGCACACAAACAGAACCAAAACACAAAATAAAGTCCAGGCCTGGTCCTCTCTGGTCGTCACTCCTCCTTTTATCCCTCCGGAGCTCCTCCGTGGGACTCGAGACCGGTGAGTGGCGCAGGTGTCGTGCTCCGGGGGGAGCCGATCACGACGGCTGCGGCGTACCTGGGGGTAAGGACAGACAGATGAGGCAAGAGAAAAGGAGACGGAAGGATGAGGAGAGACAGAGACGAGAGAGGGGAGAGAGGAAAAATAAAAATTCTTGTTCCGGTTCCCAGACACACTGCCGCTCGGCCCTCCACCAGCTGGGTAAACTCTTCTGAGATGCCTGGCGGCGGCACTGGATAGCCCTCGGTGGATGGCCCGACACTCCTCCGCTGCCCGGTGGACGGCGACGGCTCCTCCGGGTTCGGGGCAGCCGGCAGGAGTCCCCCGTTCCCTGCTACTCCCCATCATGGCGGATGGCAGCAGGCGAACGGCGGTGACTCCTCCGCTCCCTCACGGACGGCAGCCGTCCCTCCACAACCCAGGCAGCCGGCAGTGAGTTTGTCCGCCCCCCCGGCAACTCACTCCAGCCCACCGCCTTGAGCGTTCATGGCGGCAGACTGCTCCGCCATGCTCGATGGCACCGAGGATTCACCACAGCGGCGAGGGCTCTCTGACAGCGTGTCCCTCCTTCCTCCCGGGTTTCGGCACCAATGTAACAAAGTTCGTAGATCAGGAAGAAGGAGGCAAGAACCGGCGAACATTTAAACAAAACTTTAATAATAAAATAAACAAACACAAAATACCGCGACAGCCCCTCACGGACGACTGCCGCTCACAAACAGAACCAAAACACAAAATAAAGTCCAGGCCTAGTCCTCTCTTGTCTTGCACTGTCGTCACTCCTCCTTTTATCCTTCCGGAGCTCCTCCGTGGGGCTCGAGACCGGTGAGTGGCGCAGGTGTCATGCATTATCACTTACTCCACCGGCCTCGCTCCGTTCCCACGGCTCTCGGCCCTGCCCCACTCGTCACAACTTGTTTTTCTTCAAATGAAGAATGTTGAAGAAGGTTAAGGTCCAGTATTGCATGGTTAAAAAAGCACTGAGACATTTTTCTGAATTATATCTTCTTTTATGTTCTACAGTAGAAAGTAAGTCATACAGGTTTGAAACGACTTGAGGGGAAATTAAGTAAATAAGATCACTTACACTTTACAAACTGATCATAATCATCTTTGATATTACACCTCTATGACGATCTTGTGACCACTGTTTCCAGAGCTCCCTGGATCAGCTTGAGAAAGACGCTGTCTTTAACCCTCTCTGTCTGGACTCCAACCTTTACCCACACCTTAGAATTAGAGGTTTGCTCACCCGCTCATCACAACCATTTGGAGCACAAGGCCAGGGCCGCGGCCATCGCAGGGGCGCCAGTCGACCACCAGAGGGCTCTACACAGCGTCAGGTTAGAGGAGTAGAATGGAACAAAATGTCAAAAAAAAAAAAAACGCCATAAGATAGTAGAATAGAACAGAAGATCTGTGTTGACTAGTATTTGATCTGCAGTTTGCTATAATTGGAGTTTTGGACAGTGATTTGGAGTTGATAGCTGTAGAATTATTGGTATTATAATGACTTTTGATTAACTTCTTGATGCTCTAGGGGAAATTGAAGAAATAATGCAGTTTTATCATACCTTCATTATAAAAAACTGAGATATGATAAACCTCTCTGATACGGTGTCAGTAGTGTTGACATAAGTTGACCTAAATAGATTAGATGTAATCAGGTGAGGTGTTTGTCAAGCTTTAGGAACTTTCAAACACTACATTGTGCCATTTTAGTTGAGCTCTAAATCTGAATACAAATTTTAGAAAAACTAAAATGCAAATAAATAGAGAGGAAGTGTGTGTGTGTGTGTGTGATGTTGAAAGGGGGAAATTATTGCCCCAGAGAGCAAAAACGAAACCAAGCACTGGCCTAATATTGAAACACCCACGCAAGGGGAAGACAAAAAAAAAAAAGAGCAAAAGGGAGAATGAAAACGATAGAGTAGTCAAAATAAACTGGTCCCTATTTTGGAACTCTCCACAATCAGACTCAACATGACCGATTTTCCAGCCACAAGCACTTTGTGATGTCACGCTATCATAAATATATTTATGATCGATAGAACGATATGCTGCAAATTCAAAACACAAAAAATGTAGTGATTATGCTAGTGCACTGAGGAACAAATGTGACAAGAGTGATTTATGTTTTATATAAAGCATGCAAGTTCCACCAGTTGATAAGGAGTTTGTCAAACCTGATCATGTTCTCCAGCATGATTTGAGATGATCCAAAGAGCATCCTGAGCTTCAGTGGAAATGGAACATCTGATCATCAGTACAAAGTGTCACATGATCACATGTAAATTTACTAATTTGATTAGTGACCTAGAAATAGTGCAAAAACTTCTCTTATGAACATTTATTATTTGTTTTTACATCATATTGTTCTTTGTTTCAAAATTAGAGTTTAACCAATTTTAGGAAATTTTGCCTAAAGGGGCTAAAGCTGCATACACAGAGAAGTGTTAGAAGGTCACAATGACACTTACAGTTAGGCTTGGAGGAGAAGCTAAACAGACATTCAAGTCATTCAAGACTTTGGTTGCAGTCAAAAACAAAGCGCACCAACAAATACTGTTACAGAGATTTTTATTTTATTTTATTTTTTATGTTTTGCTGTTCCTTACTCTCTTCATTTTTCTCTTGTCATTTTTGGTTGGCAGGGTCGGCAGTCTCAGAGTCGCGTGCGAGCCACAGTGGCCCCGCTGCCTTCCATCCCTTTAAACAAGATGCCTCGCCGTTTACTAACCCTCAGCCACTCGCGACCCTGTGCTCCTGCCCTCTTTTTCCAGGACAACTATGAGGAGGAAGACCCTTTGATGATCCAGTAAGGAGAAAGAGAGAAAGTATAAAACTTTCACTATAAGAGGAAATTGCACATTCACATTCACACTCACACTGACTGACACCAACAGTTTCTAAACTCCCACAGACAGGATGTTACATTTTTGCACATGACCTGATATACACTTATTATATGTACAGCTAATTTGAAAAATATATTTGCTATACAAATTTGGTTTACTATTCAGAGAACACTGTACTGTGCAATGGAGAACAGTACAGAATTTAGATTCTCTCATCTAACGCAGAGCAAGTTTTAAACACTCAATATATTTCCTTTAAACACTCAAACCTTAAGCTAGCTATACAGACCATACCTTATTTCTAACAAGACGAGGGCTGGCTAGGTTAAGTCAATTGTTCGGTTTTCAGAATACAGTTTAGTAGTGCAACATCAAAGCTCGATTTATCTTCTTAAATCTGAAAAACATCACAGCACAGATTAAATAACCTCATTACTTCTCCAAATAAAAACTTCAGCAACTTTGAGACTGACACTGCAAAATCAACCCTCATATTTCAGACACTCAGTATGCAAAAAACAAGCTGTTTTGTTACCCTGATGTTTGCAATTAAACCAGTCCTCATAGTAACTAGCATGATTTCACTCTTGGAGACGTAATTAAACCAACGTCGTTCCATATGGTTTAACAAAGCCTGCACCGCAACTGGGAAAAAAAATATAATTGTGAACTGCTGAGGCTGCAAAAAGAAATCAAATACAAAACCACAGAATTGTAAAAAGACAAGAAGAAAGGCTGTTTATAGAGAGAGAACTGCCTTCTCAGTTTAAATGCTGTGGCTAGAAGGCTCTGTAGAGAGTTGAGGAGGAAGAAGGCCAGAGTAGTGGAAAAGTAGAGCCATTGTCTTCCTTTATGGAAGCCTCCAGTGCAGCCCCAAGGGAGACACACTGTACTCAGCTGAGCAGGAATTCAAGGCCTTCAATGAGTTACAGAAAGCGAAGAGAGGGGAAAAGAAAGAAAGAGGTCGCTCTGTCTAGCCCCGTGACCTCTCAGAACAAGGTTCAGCTTTGGAGGCGCTGGTTTAGAGTTGCAAGAGCTGTGGGACGTGATTCTGAATGCAGAATGAGTTCAGAGCTCTAATATTACTCAATGGGCCTCTCTTACTAGACCCCATCAGTATTGCCTCATTAAGTTTTCCGCTATTCCACCCACCTGGCACCACCTACGCCTTGTCTTTATGACATCATGCTGAGGTTTGGCATTGTGCAAACGGCACAAAAAGCAGACATAGAGAGTGGATCTCGCGTCATTTTCCCCTCCTTTTTCATATTTTACGTTCACGATTTCCTAACTTTTTCAGCTGTTACGAAAGAGATTCAGTAGGGAGTTTTTCTCTTATTTTGAAATTGTTTTGCAAATGTCTCTCTACTTCTGGTTAACTAATGTTTAGCCTGCGTTAAGAATATTCATTGTAATCATTTTTTAGTCTTGTTAATCTTTGTAAACACTTTTTATTTATATACATTACTTCTATATTTTTATTAACACTATATTATAAATGGTTTGAAAATTATTAATCGATGTTGTTTAATGTTTTGCTGTTGCCCTTTTAAAAATAAAACACCTTAAAAACTGACATTTTGCATGAGAATGAAATCAAACAGGCAAGCCTAAAAGTTGTAAAAACTGGATGGGGGAGAAATCAAATGGTAATAATCCATTAAAAAAAACTGTTAAAATTTGACTGTATCATATTTTTTTAAAGGAACGATGTTAGCAATCTCAGTTTTTCAAAATCAATATATAACTACATAACACATACAGTAGATTAACAGTATAATTTATATTTACTATACCTTAATGCTGTCTATATCAATTATATTATTAATTACACTAAGAATCAGTAATAAGAAAAAAAATTTCAATTAAATGTTAAATATTTGTTAATTATTTCCCAATGTGCATACTACAAACTTTTTGTTAAAAGTTCATTTTATGTATTTAATAATACACAGGTGATTAATGCAAAAATGATGTTCAATGATGTGTACTTCAAGTACAGTACAGATTTTATTTTAACCTATGAGATACTTGTATTTCAATTTTAGTTGAAAGATGTAACGAATGCACTTCCCCATCATTTGCTTCATACTTCAGAGAACAACAGCTCAGTTCTGTTTTCCGTTTGGTTATCCAAACATCAAGTGGCCAGCGGAACGAAAACATAAACGGAACATTCAAGAAAACAGGAACTAGTACAACATGAGAAGTGCATCCAAACTGAACCAATGTATACCTTTTTTTATTCACATGATGCCAAAACTGAAACTGATAACTTGACCTCCTTAAAACACATACACTATTTAAAGCTCAAGTGGTAACAGGTCTCTTAATAGAAAGCATCTGTTTAGCATGATGAACCAAGTTTGCAAAAATTTTTGCTTGTCTCAAATATTTATTCAGTATGTTTGTATTATATCCAACAACAAGTAACTAAATAAACAAATAACTGTCAAACTAAATTAAAAACTATACCGATTGCAAATGACGATGATAAGAAAAGAGGGGAAAAGAGGTGTTGTCAGTCCACTTCCTTTATTAATACCTATGAGTAATCCGCTGTTAAAATTAAACACTGCAACCCAGTATGATGGTAAACTATGCTTTTTAAACAAGTCAGACCTTGGACCAAATAAATGCATTCTTTTTAGATGAAGGTCTCTGCTCTGTCAACACATTCACTGCTTTTCTGCTTAAGAGCACTACACGTTGAAAAAATACAGCAGAATGTGATGAATAGATCAGATTTTGGCGGTCTGCTCAAAAGAAAAAAACTGAAAGAAAAGACTTGGGGAGACTGGAGAGAGGACAAAAGGAAATGAGTGAGAGGGCGAATGAGAAAGAAAACAGGACAGGGAACAGTCTGTACCTTCACACACTGCCAGGCAGACACATATTAACTCAGCCAACATTCAACTCCCATTTGAAGTAAGGCCCCTATTTTACACAGATGGTTAATATTCACTTTGCATCAGGATTATCCCTCAGATGTCAGACACTGTTCAGGACAACAGAGGACTAGATGAATAAGGGACTGAGAGTGAAGGCTCGGGCATTCAGGGTGATTTCATGCCCTGTTTACAAACCAAGTCCAGATTTTTCCTTCGATATGTACATGTACTTGTACATTTTTGGAAATGGAAAAGTAAGAATAACTAGAGAATTCTCTTGTACTATAATTTTTATTATCATCGTCATCATGTTAAACAACAGCACAGCTGCTGACTCATTCACATACGCACATACATATAAAACACACACACACGCACTCTCAGAGCAGTGGATTAGTATCCTTTTGCTACAATCCCCATGCAAAACAATTCAAGGTTTGTACGTGCAAAAACTGACCTTTTTGTCTTTGCACTTTAACCATTAAATTACATCTGGCAGATAACGTTCACACAACAACACTCGATTCTCCAGGGAGCCGAGTGTTATGACAAGTGCTTCATAATCTCTTCCGATACAAAAGTCACAGACTCAAATTTACAAAACAGGATTACTTTGCCCAAAAAGTGCAAAAATCTGGCATGTGCCAGTACAAGCCCTTTCAGAGGGCATTATCCATATAAAAGTTTTGTACAGTCTTAGCTCTCAATCATTTTGACAGTCAGTGACTATATGACTGAGGTTGCAATCCGAGCACTGATGCTGAGCGCTCCCTTGTTAACCATAAACGCATTTCCTTCAATTAAAGATCTAAGGGTTAAGGAAAAGGAGACCAGACTGCCTAAATTGAAAGGTTAGGTCAAATGTCACCTAAGTTGTCATAGATGATGTCTGGAGACTGCATGGTAGGATGCCACGCATTTGGAGGTGGCTGATGTCTAGATACTTTACTGTAAATCTCCACATTTCCTGCACCAGCACCTCTTCTGCCACCTTCCGTGCTGTTATGGCTGTTGCTACTGTTATTGTTGTTCAGGTTAGCACTGCCTTTAATTTGAGGCAACGGAGGAGGGTCTTTCTTGGGCAGTGCTACTTTGCCTGGTTTGGGTGCTGTGACAGGTTTGGGGCCTTTTGGTCTGGGCACTGGCAGTGGTTGTTGAGCCACCTCGTGACCTTGAGGCTCCTCCGTTCCCCTGGTTCTCCAGGGATGCATTTCCAACCGTGCTTCATCATAAAGCGTGATAATAGGCAGTGCAGATCCAGCACGTCCCTCTGGCTCATCGTAGATGTGCTCTGTAGGACCTCCATCTGCAGGGTGCCTGCTTCGCCCATCGAGTCCCAATCCCACTGTCCTCTGCACCAAGTCCAGACTGATCTGATCATAGATGTCTGAATAGAATGGATCAGGCTTGATGCCTGGGTGGCGGCTACCCCCATCGTCGCCAGTCGGCCTGAGACGTGGGTTAGGAGTGGGCATGACTTTGATACTGTCCACCGGGTCCGAGTACAAACAGTCTCCTGGACTGGGCGGCGAACGAACCGAGTCAGCAGGCTCCGAGTATAGACTCCCTTGGTCCTCTAACAGATTTTTGGACCCACGTGGCATGGGAGATCGCGGCGGGGTCCCACCAACGGGAGGTGGCGGCTCTGGAAGGCTTCGGCCCTTTAAATTTTTCCCATCGTTCTCCTTTCTACCAAAGACACCATCTGCAGACCCAGGCTTGCTACCACCAGAATCTCCATCTGGTTCACGACTGTTTGCTTCTGAGATGGCAGCACGGATCTGCTGGAGAGCTGGGCAGTCTGAGTCTAATGATGGACAACTTTGGTGTCGTTCTTCAGCTTGGGCTTTCTGCTCCCGAATGGATTCCTCAACAATGTGGAATATTTCATTTCCCTGCTTCGTCTCGAAGGTGAAGTTCCCCGGCCCAGATTCACATCTTCGTCCGGCTTCAAAAGAGAACATAACCTGCAGAGAATGTGACAAAGTGTTTGGGATATTTTGTTACTTTTGTTTTATTCACTTATGCACATGGACATTAAACTTGCTTTTTGAATGAACCTTCTTTAAATAAATGTCATCATATATTATTTTTGTATTATTTATATACTACTACAGATTTAATTATATAGATTATGTTTTATTAGATTATACTTTATATTTTCAGTTTTTATATTAATTTTAGTAGTTGTATTAATAGTGTTTTAGTTTTATTTATTTATTTTCCAAAATTTCAGTTTTTATTTGTTAAAACATATTTTTAACAGTTGGGGAAAAAAGGGACCCAGCACACTGGGCTTATTAATCTTTCCAGTCACATTTTATTTTGGGGACACATTCTCAATATTAACTATTAACTACAACTTTTGCCTCAAACTCTTAATTTTCTACTTATTAATAGTTAGTAAGGTAGTTACGTTTAGGTATGGGGTAGTATTATGGGATCTAAAATATGGCCATGCAGAATAAGGAATTAATATATGCTTTACAAGTACTAATAAACAGCCATTATTAGGGGTGCTCCGATCAGGATTTTTGAGGCCGATCACAGAAAGCAGTATCTTCAGATACGATCACCGATATAGATCTTTTTAAAGCCTTCTTTTTATCATGTAGAATTATTTATAGTGATGATCCAATCAAGATTTTTAGACATTTATTCAGGGCCTGAATTTAATTTTTGAAAATTAATTCCCCTCTTAGGTGACTCTTGTGAAGGGGGATTTTTTATTTTGAGGGGTGGAGGAGGGGATTTTTTTTAGACATTTTTCAAAAATATATATTTATCTCACTTAAATGTTTGATCATGCACTGCATTTTTGTTTTGACAACCGTGCACTTGTGGCACACTAACTTACACACAGCACAAGCCTGATTTCGTGAGCTGTATGTGAGGCGGCCTTTTACACCAGGTTCACACATACTCCGTTTGCAGTGTGTATGTGTATGCAGTCCATGTGCAGTACGTAAGTGGTGCAGAAGCAGCACGGACTGTGCTTTCACACAGGAGTCTGCAACTGATCCAGGGATGTTTACAAACACAACATTTATCCATTATTTTGATGTCAAATCCAAAACCATTGTGATTCTTTTTTTTTTACACAGTACATTAATACAATCTTTCATAGATGTGTTTATATGCAATAAATATAAGAAACACATTATTCAATGCTTTATTCTAGATTGATATATTAAGTTGCTCAAGCAAGTGGCAAAACATTTAAACTACTTTTCTTACATTATCAAACAAATCCAAAACTTACCATTGACAGAAACAGTCAGTCAGCTCTACTGCCTTTTGCATTTAATTCTTTATTACAAGCAATCCTGCGGTTCATAAAGAGCTTTGTTTTACTACCTCCACGAGTGCCATCTATTATTGCCTT